GAAGATTTTAAAGATTGGTTAAGAAGCCAGAATGTTACAGACGTAAGTAATTTAATTTAATTAAATTTCAAATTCATTTATGATTAGTGCTGTCCTTTATGTTTAAAAAAAAGAATAATAGTTTAAAAATAAAAATTAAATTAAAAATTAAAAAATAAAAAATAAAAAATAAAATAAAAAATAAAAATAAAAATAAAAATAAAATTATTAAAAATAAAAAAATAAAAAAATAAAAAATAAAAAAATAAAATTAATGTCTTCTTGGCGAAAAACTTCCCCTTCGTGAAGAATATGACCTTCTTCTGTATCTTTAGGAATGGGATTTATGATCTCTTAAATGATGGCAGGAACGTGATCTATGATCCCGTGAATGATGATAGCGAAAATAGGATCTATGATCCCAGCGAGAACAAGATCTAAGTTGGTACTAGTACCAGCAGTAATCTACATTCTGTCTTCTATACTAACAACGATTTACGTTTAAAAATAATAAAAAATAATAATTAAATTAAAAAATTGAAGTTTTTAAAAATAAAAAATATATTTCTTATTACTATTATTCAATAAATAATTACTGGTTCAAAGCCAAAATTCATCATCCAACTCTGCATGAAATATCTGATCATACAGAGTTGGGTTTGTTATTGGTTGGTCGTGAGGATTCTCCCCAGCTTCCAACTTCTTGAAATTTTTGTACCCATATTTTAATGAGTACTATTTTCTTCAACATTGAGAGAGAGAAGCGGTGAACCCTCTATTAAGAAACAATTGGTTGGATATAGTTCTCCATATTCTTTCATGGCGATTATTAGGAATGAACTCAAAATTGTCATGATTATCGCGTCGAAGTCAAATTAATTCTCTTGCAGTATCGACTGTTTATTTGAATGGAGTTACAGCAGGAGCAGTCAAAGCCATAACGATAGAAATAAAAAAAGGATAAAGACGAAATAGGCGGGATTGAAAAATAAAAAAATAAAAAAATGAAATAAACGGTATTGAGAAATAAAAAAAAAAAAAAACGAAATAAACGGAAATCGTAAAATAAAAAAAGAGGAGGAGAAAATGAAATAAACGGGATCGAGAAATAGAAAAGAAAAAGGAAAAAATGAAATAAACGAGATCAAGAAATAAAAAAAAAGAACAAAATAAACGAGATTGAGAAAAAAAAGAGGAGAACGAAATAGACAGGATCGAAAAATAAAAAAAAATAAAAAAAAATAAATGGCGATTGAGAAATTGACGTTAAATAAAAAGTCTGAAAAAAAAAGAAAAAAAAACAAATTAGAAATGGCGATCGAAAAAATAGATGGAATAAAAAAAAATGAAATATTAAAAAAGAAAAAAAAAAGAAAAAAAAACGAATTAGAAATGATGATCGAAAAAATAGGTGGAATAAAAAAAACGAAATATTAAAAATAAAAAGAAAAAAGAAAAAAAAACGAATTAGAAATGGCGATCGAAAAAATAGATGGAATAAAAAAATCGAAAGATAAAAGAGAGAGAGAGAGAGAGAGAGAAAGAAAAAATGAATTTAAAAAAAAATGAATTAAAAGAATTGAAATAACAGATAATATGATGAGAAAAATAATCGAAAAATAAAAGATGAAGGAAACAAGAGAAGTTTTATATTTGTGATTTTATTATGATATATTGTGAAAAACGATAGATTCGTGAGCGTAAATTACATA